AGTCATAATCATTCCTCATTTTGCTTATAAAAACCCATTTCCGTGGATATGTTGGCCACAGTGTAAACTCCACAGAGACAATTAAAGCAATTTTTAATTTTTTTTAAAGACTAAGCGTAAGTGACACATCGCATCACACATCACATGTATACACATAAATACATGTATATAAAAATGTCAAAAGTAGAACTAAGTGGAAGCAAAGAACAGTGACTCTGTAGTGGGTATCAGGCTGTGCCCTTCATGTTTTCCGACAGGTGAGACAATTATTTAAACTGCATATAAATCAAACTCTACCAGCTCTGCACAAGAATCCATCCATACACTGAAATTGAGACAGAAACTATCTTTACTTGGTTTAGAAGAAACTGTAAGAAACTGACTATGTCAGAACCAAGTATTCTATTTGTCTTTAGTCACAACCAACAGTATTGTATTTACCGTACTGACAGCTGTGAAACATACAAATTGATTTCATTCATGCCCTTTGACCTACATTAATCAGAGACACACTGTATGCTGTTCCAGTCAGACCACGTGGCTAATGTAACACGTGATGCATTCAGCATTGTGGTTAGATTGGAGCTGAGGTCATGTTCGCTGCAAATGTTATAATTCCTCACAGACGTCTCCTTTAAATTACACCTACTATAAACTAAAGCTGAAAACACAAGATTGTTTCGATGATATATTGAAGTCCAGTGTGCAGATTTGATATTTTGTTCTTTATGCAAGTCAATTAAAATCTTTGGTTTGTGGTCTGACTAGATTAGAAAGATGTCAGTGGTAAGATGTCAGCGTTAGCGTGGGTAAATCACAATTAGCCTTTGTTTTTAATAATTTTCTGATGGTTTACATCAATCAAAGAATAACTAATGGATTAACTGCCAGTAAAAATGTTATTGCAACCAGTGAGGATCTAATTTAATCACTTATCAAACGATCATGTCATAGCATTCATAAAGTCTCATTTGACCTCAGAGGCCTATCTACTATAACCCTAAGATACCGATTTAGTGTTTTTAAAGAAGCTTTTTAAAGAAGATTTCCACTTTTAAAAATGAACATTTTAAGATAAATCATAGTATTCTTTTACTTTTTCATAAGCATGAAAGTTGAAACATTTCTCAAAAATGTAA